GATCACAAGTCTGCATCTTGTACAGCAATTAACCACTAAGAAGAATGTATGCAGTGTATTATTTGTTGAAACTGTACTTTTGATTTGATTTGAAACTGTCTCATTGCTATATGTTTATCAATAAAACTTTGAAAAGAAAAAAAAATTACAATCCTTACTGAGCCTCTTTGGCCTAGAAAATCAGTTTCAGAAAAGATCTGCGTTTCTTAATGACCTTGTTTTAAAATATTAAATATTTTTTGCCCTGCTCGCCCTGCCCCCAGGTAACTCAGAGACAGTGACTGAGACTGGGCATGGTGGTACGCACCTGTAATCCCAGCTCTTGGGAGGCTGTAAACAAGAGGATCACTATGAGTCCGATCTAGTAGTGAGACCCTAAACACCCTGTAGACCCTTCCCTAAAATACAGAAAAATTTTAAATTTTTTTAAAAAAACAGTATATGATCATGTGCTTAATACCAAGAAATATCACACTTTGATTTTATTACATTTGTATCAATATTGTATTGCTAATTGGCACATGGTATGTATATAATGGGGTTAAGATGTAATATTTGATGCAAATATACAATGTACAGTACTCACCACTTTACAGCATTTCCAGCTCCTTGAATAGGTTTTTTGTGTTAGAACTCTCTCTTCTAGCTTTTTATCAATGTATATTATTTTATTAATAGTAAAATATAAAACATCAAATTCATCCAAATTTAAATTCCCCATTCTTTAGAAAAAAACACTATGCTCAAGTTGTAGTGAACCTTTCCAACTCATGTACTCATTTTTAGTTCTGAATCCTTTGTTTTTAAAACGTGAAGAAACTACTATAACCTTGAGTTTATATTGCCTATTGTTTGAAAATTTGCTCATACATGTAGCTTTCGATTCACTGTTAAACACACTAGCAGCTGCAGCTGCATCTTGAACTCCTTAGCTTTCAGAACCATACACCAAATAAACTTTTCTTAATGAATTACTAATTTTGTGGTATTCTGTGATAACC